TCTGCCTGGGGCTATTAAGAAAACTGGGCCTGCTTTTCTGCCTTTAAGATCCTTTGGGGAAATATAATATTCTGCCTTTTAATATTCCCAAAATATTTCTTTCTCTGGCGGGGATGCTGTCCTCCCACAGAACTGTTTTCTATTAACTGTTTTCTATTTTTACTGATTTTTAATAACAAAAATAGAGAGCAAAATATAATAATAATCATGGTGATACATACATAGTCAAAGAGAAGAAAAAACACATAAAAATGTAACAGAAATATAAAAGAAATATGACAATAAAAATAATATGTCACTGTAACTAAACAATGACATATTATTTTTTCTAATTGTAACTAAAGTTACAGTTCTATATATACTTGTTTAATCCAAATATTATTTAATTACATACATATTGTCTATAAATGAATCCATATTTCATTATAATTGTCTATACAAAGTCTAGGCCAGTGGTGGCGAACCTATGGCACGGGTGCCAGAGGCGGCACTCAGAGCCCTCTCTGTGGGCACGCGCGCCGTCGTCCCAGTCCTAGGCCTTCAGCTGGGTTTTATAAAACCTTTTCGCTTTAGGCCTCCACCGCCATGTGCAAAAAAAAAAGAAGGTTCAATCAATCAGTCAATTTCAACTTCTCGCAGGAAAAAAAAGATCTTGCAAAGTTGGAATTGATTGATTGAACTTTTTAGTCCCACCCAGTCTGCCGTTACCACTGCAGCCACACCCACCCAATGGGCCATACCTACCCAATTGGCCACACCTACCCAATTGGCCACACCCAGCCAATGGGCCACACACCCCGGCATCCGACGATGCATAAGTGGGTTTTGGGTTGCAGTTTGGGCACTCAGTCTCTAAAAGGTTCGCCATCACTGGTCTAGGCAATGTGCTCATAAGTGTCAAGGGCAATCAGGTTGTCAAGCCATTGAATAAATGGAGCCATACACATATCTTTCTAATGCTGAAATATCAGATTCCTAGCCATAGAAAGGGCACAGAGAATCCTTTTAAGCAATCCAACTATCAAATTCCATCTACTAGGTATATAGTTCAAACAAATATTATCCTCTTAAAATTTTAGCTTTTTTCACATAACCGTATTTATATAGCTCACCACTTTCTCCCAAAACATAGAATTCCCAAAAATGTTTTCCCCTCAAATTAGGACATTGCAGAAGTATGGTTTAAAGAAGCATTATCCTTATTACATCTCAAACAAAATGCTGTTTTTGACTGTCCTTTTATATACAGATGTTATGGAGCCAAAAAATTCTAAGTATTACTTTGTGTTGTATAAATTGTAATTTGAGATCCATTGACGCTCTTGCTATATAAGTTAATATACTCTCCCATTGTTTAGACAACATAGGAACCTCTGATTCTTTATTTCACTAATTTCTTAACATCTGCACATCAAATTTATACAACTTTTAATCTATATATAAATAAAAATGAAAATGTTCGTTTGTTCAAAATTTTAAATCTCTGAAAGTTCTTCACCAATTGCTTTGAAATCTTGACACAACGTTGCATTCGATTATGCACGTGTTTTTATATACCTATATTATATAGATGTCACACCTGTGACAGGTAAAACATGCTTTTTTAAAAAAACAGCGCCATCTGTTGGACGTAAAAGCAACACACGCTTTTACCAGACTGAGCCACAGCAACACGTGGCTGGGTACAGCTAGTGAGATAATAAATATCTATAAAAAGTAATTGTAAGTGTTTTAATTTTAAAGGATTTAACAAATTGTTCTAGTACAGTGGTTCTCAACCTTTTTAATGCCGCGACCCCAACCGGTCGTAAGTCAAGGACTAAACCGGTCGTAAGTCAAGGACTAAACCAGTCGTAAGTCGAGGACTAAACTGGTCGTAAGTCGAGGACTACCCAACCGGTCGTAAGTCGAGGACTTTCCCTGCCCGGGAGCGCCACGCATGCGTGGTTCCACCCCCTGCGCCGGCCGAGGCGTAGCTGGCAAGTGGCAGAGACGGAGCAGGCCGACCACCAGCTGGCCCAGCCCAAGGGAGGTAAGGCACCCACTGGAAAAGGGGGGGAAAATGGCGGACAAAAAATGGTGGACAAAAAAATGGCGGACAGCCTTGCTTGGCGACCCCCATGAAATGGTCGATCGACCCCAAATGGGGTCCCGACCCACAGGTTGAGAACCACTGTTCTAGTATCTCAGGTGTCTTAAAAATGCTGCTAGTCCAAATAGTCTTATTAACAAAGTTTGTAATTGTAAATATTGCCATTGAGTTATATCTGGTGGTTGATATTTATCTGTTAACACAAAGCTTGTTAAACATTTATCTCCATCATCTATCAGTTGATGCAAAGTCAATATCTCCGCTTCCATCCAATTTTACTATATCACTGTCTTTCTCTCAATTTTTAAAGTTGAGTTTCTCCATAAGGTCAATTTGGCATGGGAAAATATCTTTTTTTATTAGACATTCCATTCCATAACTTTCTAAACGACATAATTATTTCCAGACATACCAGTTTTAGTATATTTAGATTCCAAAATGGTACTATATATGTATATTCCAAAGTTGCCCAAATCAGAAAATTAATACCACTTTCTTACTTCCAGTATTTAATACCTGGCCATAGGTAAGCATGGTGATTTTATATACATAATAAAGAGGGGGGGAAATGATATGAAAGAATTTATTTTCAGAGGCTGTTCTGTATCTGTCTGATATAGGCAACCTATGACTATCCAGATATAATTGCATTATTACATTGCTCAGTCAGACCCTGTAATCATGAATCATTTTAGCTAATGGTGATGAGAGTTGGTGATAAACCAATATTAGAGGGCCATTGATTCTTAATTCTTCTGACTGACACTATAATGGTATCTTCTGCAGGTCTGGCCTATTCATCTAGTGATTCAGGGTGGATGAGCTTTTAGGTGCTTTTCATAGCCAGACCCTGGAGTACATAAATCTCACAGATCATGCAAAATATCTAAAAAAAGAATGGGAACTATGGTAGAAATAACTGGATACTAGTCTCACTGATGTTTCTTCCCAGTCATTTTCCCTTCTGACAATTAATATTACTTCTGATCTTGAATTTAACTGGAGGAAAAATTAGCCCTAGAGAAATTTTCTTGGAGAATGTATTCACCAGAGAAGTTATTTATACAACCTATTATGGATACTTTGCACAATTTGCTATTTGAATCCATAGCTAGTTTGATCTATGTACACAGTCACCAACACTTCTCACTTCAATACGCAATGGGCTACACAAACAGCACAATGTACAATTTGAGAGAGAGAGACAGAGAGACAGAGACAGAGAGAGAATAGGGGATTTCATATAAATCATTCAATGTTAAAAGTGCAAATTTAAAAACAAAGTAAAAATAAAATTGTTCTAGTCCATGTTTTACAATGCCACGTTTCAATTTATGGGTAGTAAATTTACAGGCAATTTATTAAACCATTCAAAAATGTGATTCTCTCTGTACACTAAAATGACATTGTGGATTCTACCATCTCATTTTACTACCTGCCTGGTTGGTTCCCTTTGCATTCAGGAATATTCGTGATAATTTAAAACATTTGTGATTTTTATTAAAGGCAGGGAATGCCCTGAAATGTGTCACAGCTTATGACTATACCACCAAATACTGTTCTGTTCAATATAGAATATAATAGATGTGAATCCATGGGCCTAGAATAGGACTAATAAATTAAGATCTTCCTGAAACTGACTTAGTAATTAGTATATATATATCTTTTCCCTTTTATTAGAAGTAGTAAACATTAGCAGTTATATACAAAAAATGTGTAGGCATTAATAGCAACAAGAGAGCACATCTGATTATTTTCTTCTCTTTTTCTAGCTGGAGGAATAGTGCAAAGTGTATTTCTAGGGCAGTGGGACGTAAGACACCGCAAACTTCAGGATCTATCCAGGCAGTCTGAAGACCAGCAAGGTGCTACCTTCACTGAACACAAACTTCATGAAATTCCTCTTGAAGATGAACGCACACAGGACACTGCAAATTCAGGGAGGCAGACTATTAGACACCAGTGCAAACTCCCGGAAATTACCAGCCAGCAAGACGGAAGGCAGAGTAGCAGCTCAGGACAGCTCGTATCCAGGCAATCTCAACGTCAGAGGGGTGCTACTTTGGCTCAACACAAATTCCATGACATTCCTTTCAGAGATGAACGCACAGATTGCCCTGCGAGTACAGGGCGGCAGACTACCGGAAACCAGGGCAGTTGTACAGAAAGTAGCAGCCAACAAGGTGGCATGCAGAGTAGCAGCTCAGGAGAGCACTCTATGAAGCAACAACAAACTCCCAAACCCCAAGATGCTTCCCACCAAAGTGGCTCTTCAGGGCAAGGTAGCAAAAGGCAAGAAAACAGACAACCAAGTGGGAGCACACAGAGTTGCTTCTCAGGGAAATCCGATCTAAAGTCCCACATACCCCAGGACGCTTCCTGCGCATCCCAAGACTGCGATAGGTAAGAGACCGGTACAGAGGAAATACGGGTTATGTGAGATCTCCCCAGATTACTGGACTGTATTTTCTGTTGAGTTCAGTTTGTGTGATATTCTGTTGGTAAAACAATAGAATCAGAGTCCGGTAAGTACAAATAGTCCTCAACCTATGTCCACAATTGAGCCCAAAATTTCTGTTGCTAAGTGAAACATTTGTTAAGTGAGTTTTGCCCCATTTAACAACTTTTTCTTGCCACAGTTGTTAAGTGAATCAATGCATTTGTTAAGTTAGTAACATAGTTGTTAAGTGAATCTGGCTTCCCCATTGACTTTGTTTGTCAAAAGGTTGCAAAAGGTGATGACATGACCCCGGGACATTGCAGCACATCATAAATATGAGTCAGTTGCCAAGCATTTGAATTTTGATCACATGACCATGGGGAGGCTATAACAGTTGTAAGTGTGAAAAATAGTCATGTCACTTTTTTCAGTGATGTTGTAACCTTGAACGGTCACTAAATGAACTGTTGTAAGTCGAGAACTACCTATATATGGCATGAAAGGGGTCCCTAACCCCCGGGCCACAGCCCACTACCGGGCCTTGAGCCTTTTGGAACCAGGCCACGGAAGTGGCGGGCAAGAGTGGGTGTGTGCCCATGCACTCCATTTGCCTGAGCGGTGGGCACGCAAATGGAGTTGCATGTGTATGCTTGCCTGCCGCTTGCGCTGTACCTTCCTCCTCTGGTCCATAAAGCCAAAAAGGTTGGGGAACTCTGATATACGGGGATGAATCAGAAGCACATTCACCGGGATTTACTGAGACTATAGTGAGAAACTTCACACATGCTAAGCTATAAACATTGCTTAAAGACACTTGTGACAGAGTTCACAAAACACGTTACATCAAAACTCAAAAATCAAATTATGGACTTACATGATGTACGAATTCAGAGAAAGCACTTAAAACTGTGTTCACAAGGGGACAACAAAGATGAAGAAAAATATATTATATACATTACAGAAGTATGTTAGATTTAGTATGTGGGATAATATAATCTCTTTTCTCCATATAAAAAAGGTATGTACTTTTAATAACAACATAATAGGAAACATTCAGTAGGTTTTCTCTTGCTTCTTTCCAGTGCTGCTTATCTGTTCTTGAAAACATTGTCCATCCTTACTCTCTGCCTATTGTGCAAAATGCAGATAACTTTTGTCAGGCAAATACAAATAAGCAAGATAGCTGAGAAAATGAATGAAAAAAAACCATACAAAATATCCTGAACTTTAAAAAGTCATTGCAATTGCTGTGTATATGAACTATTCCCCTGCACGAACTTCCCTTGTTACAAAGCAACTGACTTTGTTCCCAAGCTTGGAAAATACAGAGTTACACATGGGACTCTAGCAAGCTTCGGGCATGGGAGTTGTAGTTGTTCCAGGAAAACTTTGCAAACATCTTGGCACCTTGTCACTACTCACCTGGATGATTTCAGAGGTATTTTGTATCACTTTGTAGCCAACATGACAAGCCAATGGGATTCAATAGTCCAAAGTTCACTATAGGAACTCTTGTGGAAGTAATTATTTTGGTGTAGCAGTTGAGTTGCATGATGTGTGTCCGTTGGTTTCTATGTACTTCAATCTGCTGGTCCTTGGCCAAAATATTCTGCTTTTCTGCCACTCTTGTTTCTTTAACAAACAAATAGCTTTGCTCAGGTGTTTAGCATTCATACTGAGAAATCACAGTGTAGCATTGTGAGGTTTTCCAAGTAAAATGCTATGGAGAACTTAAATTGGTTTATAGGTAGGCAGTGGACTTATTATGGCAGATCAAGCTTTAATTCAGAAAGGGATTTTATTTATTTATTTAGATGACTTCACCCACCTTAAATAACTCTGGATGTTCACAAACAGCAATATAATGCAGTAATTATAAAATGTAAGAATGAAACAATAAAACTGTCAAGCAAAAGCAAAACCCTGACACCTTACCCTTAAGATGCTTTACGGCCAATTCCAATTACCCCAATTCCATTCTATCTATTTTATTCTGTCCAGTCCCAGTGCTTGGCTAAAAAACCAGGTCTTGACGGCCTTTTAAAAAATGAAAAGGATGGGGGGGGGCGGGTCTGCTGAATCAATGGGGGGGCAGAATGTTCCATAAGGGGCAGCAATGGAAAAGAAACATCTGCAATGACTCACTAGATGAAAAATATCTCAGTGAAGGGACTTGGAACATGTCTATCCTATCTAATGTAATACGATAGGCAAACAGTTTCAGGAAGATGTGATCCTGCAAATAATCATGTCATATGCCACAGAGGGCTTTAAAGGGGATAACCAGCACATTGAATTGCACCCAGAAGCAATCTGGAAGACAGGTGCAACTTGTGCAATAGAGATGTAATGTTGGAGTACCTAGGAGCACCCAATACTGTGCATGCCTACTGGACCAATTGTTACTTTCAAGTGGTCTTTAAAGGCAGTCCCCTGTGAAGCATATATATTTGTTTTCTGAGGTTTTCGCGGGTATTTGTATGTAGGTCTTTAGTTATTCGGGTTTTCTCCCGCGTAGAATTAGAAGTTTCTTGGCGACGTTTCGACGAAGTCACATTCGTCATCTTCAGGCTGGTGTCTTCTGCTTCGTGCTTCTGGGCGTAGTGTGTGTGATCGCAGCTGTTTCTTCCTTTTAACTGCC